AAGTTCAGTGAGCCAGGCCACAGTGTTCCACATAGAATTTCACTGCAGACAAGCAAGCTTCTGATTTTGTGTGTGTAGGTATGTGTGTAGAAGAACTGGGGTGTAGGCCAACATTATGGGGGGTGAGACGGCATGGGGAGCAGACAGCATGGGGAGCAGAACAGGCAGATTTACTGAAATACACTGCTATAGGGAGCAGAGGGAGAGACAGAAGAGGTCTGCTGTACCATGTGTGGGTTAGCTCCTTGGCTGGGTATCAGACTCAGGCTACAGTGGTGACAGCACTGAAACTTAACCCCTAGGCTACCAGGGAGGCCCCATTTTGATTTCTTTAGGAGAAAGAGATTATAAGAGAACATGATGAACTCAACAATGGACCTACTATTTGTTAGAGAAGATACTCTGAGCCATTAAGAAAAGATGAAGGGTATCCCTGGCGGCACAGGAGTTAAGTCTCAGCACTATCACCACTACAGTCTGAGTTTGATCCCCAGCCAGGGAGCTAACCCACATAGCGCAGCGGACCTCTCCTCTCTCGCCCTCTGCTCCCCTCAACAGTGTTTATCAGTAGATCCACCTATCCCGCTCCCCAGTCTGTCTCTGGTGAATCTACTCATGCCCCACACTTCTGGTCTATACCCCAGTTCTTGTATGCATAAGTTAAAAAAAAAAAAATAAGAGCTGACAGCTCTTCTTTAAAAAGAAATGATACAGCAGTCACTGGGGACAAATGTTCAGGAAAAGCAAATCATACCAGATAGATCATTTAAGTAGTAAGCCATAGAAGTATGTGGTTCTAATGTATCTAGAATTTAGCAGGGATTTTGACCCATACATTTATATCATGGGAGGAATTTCTGAAATATGGTCGAGAGAGTGGTATAGGAATGAATTTGTAACTAGTAGAAAGATTAAAAAGTGCTGATTAGTAGTTCCACGTCCAGTTGCATCACATGCTGTACTTTACCCTGCCCTGCTTTACTCAGTGACGCCAGCAAGGAGGTTGATTTTAACAATAGCCCTCAGTCATTATTCATTGAGTGCTCTATCTAGATGAGGCACTTTAAACACCCTATTACCTCATTTACTCCTTCCGATATTCTCAGATCATATTTTCCTCCGTTTTAAATGAGAAAGTGGCTTGCACATAGTCCAAGCCTAGTAAGCAGCAGTGCTGACATTGCTTCAAGGAAGAGGTTCTGAAGGATCGGGGGAAACCACATTTCTAGGAGAAATTGGCTAGCATGCATGCCAAAAAAACCCAGGGAGTGGCATTTTCTCAGTGATTCCACATGAAATGTATGGCTGGCCTACAGTGTTGTAGATCTTCACTGTATCTCAAGGTCTAGAACTCACAGTGACAAACCTTACCAAACGCTCACCTTTAAAACCAGATGCTGATTTACTAAAATATGAGAAAGGTAACATTTATACTAAACAAATATGATCAGTGTTCTTGCACGCAACATTTAGCATTCTGAAAGAAATCCTGATGAGCATAATGTTGGCTATAGAAGATAACTCTGTCTAGAAAGATGCTGCTCAGATTGGCTGCAGACTTTGACAGTTACAACAAAGATGTAAACAATCACCTGTCTCCCTGGATCCCTGGACCTACTTGAGAGGACAGTTTTTCTTGGGCAGTCAGTATCTGACACCTGTTGATGCTCTGATGACTGCTGTGTTTTCTCTAGGTGTTTTAATGACTTCAGTTAAGTTGTTTTGACTTAAAATTTAGGTTTTCTTTTTAATATGATTGTTTTATTCAATTTCTTGCTGATACAACTTCTTACTTTCAGAAAATAATTTTAATTCCTGTATTTCCAAATCCACTTTGTCCTTGTGTATTATTATAAGATGCTGGTCCATTTGACTGGTGGATTAACACAAAGAAACACAAGAACAGAAGTATTGGCACTGACATTGAATCTAAAGGCAGCACCTGTTTTTTTAAAAACTTGTTTGTGATTTACAGGTTATCAGAGTCAGTAATGTGTGATGTAATTATCAAGAGGTCAAGACATACTTAGCTCATCTCTAAATCATATACCGTATTGTAAGCCAAAGTTACATCAGATATAAAATACAATAAAAAAGGCACAATCTTAACAAAAATAGACATACCTGTATTAACTGAGTCAACAGAATGAATGAATCAATGAATGAATGAAGTTGATAGCCTTACTCTTATCTTCACTGACACTCCATGCCTAGAGTGGTGATGCTTATTTAGCTCAGGGTACACATTTTCCAGAAGATATTGACAGACTGGAAAATATTCAGAGGAAATTGACCAGATGGTAGTGGAACTTGAAATCACATTCTGACAAATGGTTGTAGGACACTGTTGATATTTAGATTAAGAAAAGAAAGACTTAGGGAAAATAAGAAAAACTGAATTTTTGAGTGCTTAAAGTTATGGAGTGCTTATTCAGAGCCTGCAAAGTAGGCCAGGCCTTGTGTTCCTTTAATGGATTTCATGCATCATGAATCTTTCATAATGAAAAGTGAACACTTTATTCTGAATTGCCCTGGAAGGCAGGGCTGACAGTAGTCAGTAGAAACCACAGAGAGACTCTGCTGCCTTTTTGAATGATGATGCTTATAACTCTCAAAGCTGTCTAACAATAGAATAAGCTGCCTCGATATTAAAGGGGTTTATGTAATTGGAGGTGCTTATGCACACTGGTCAAAATTTTGGAAAGTAATAAGTGAGTGTTAAATGGGGCATGCACCAAATGAACTCCAGACTTTGTCCAAATTATTCTGCATGTCTATCATCATCTTAAATTACCTTTTAGTTTAGTGATGTGAGCCTAAATGTCTTCCAATTCAATAAATCCAGTTATAGGGTTTTCTGGTTGTTACACTGCTTTTTGGCAACTAAGGCAAAGTTCTAACAGAGTTCAAAGTTGCATAGATGGGAAACATTTTGTGAGTGGCTTTATTACACAGAACAGCAAAAAGAGATTCACTTCCTCATTTGATCTCCAGATGCACGTATTCTGAGTATGGGGGAAATACTGTGTATGGAAGGATTGTTCAAAGCATGATAAAATAATTTAAAAGCTTCAAATATTTGTAGCATTTATTTCCATCATTGTGTTTAAATGAAGTCATTTATGCTCTATAATCCCCTCTAAATGAATTACTTATTTTCAGCTTTCTTATTATTAATGAATATACTCTGAGCATCAACCAACCTATGCTTTCATGCTATTACATTCACATATTAATCCAGAAATAAACCCACAGATTTATGGTCAACTAATCTTTGACAAAGGAGCAAAGACTATGCATTGGAGCAAAGAAAGTTTGTTCAATGAATGGTGCTGGGAAAACTGGGTCACTACATGCATAAGAATGAAACTTGACCACTACCTCACACCATACACAAAAATCAACTCAAAATGGATTAAAGAACCAGACATAAGACCTGAAACCATAAAATACATAGAAGGAAATATAGGCAAAACAATACATGATATGCACATCAAAGATATCTTTACACACACATCACCCAAAGCAGTGATAGTGAAGGCAAAGATCAACAGCTGGGACTACATCAAATTAAAGAGCTTCTGCACAGCAAAAGAAATAACAAAAACAAAGAGAAACCCCACTGACTGGGAGAACATTTTTGCACACAACACTAATGATAAAGGACTGATCACAAAAAAATCTGCAAAGAGCTGATGAGACTCAACAAAAACAAAGAAAATAATCCTGTCAAAAAATGGGCAGAAGAGCTAAAAAGAAACTTCTCTGAAGAGGAAATGCAAATGGCCAACAAGCATATGAAAAAATGTTCAACATCACTTGTCATCAGGGAAATGCAAATCAAAACTACCATGAGATACCATCTTACACCAGTGAGAATGGCACATATTAAAAAAACTAGCAACAACAAATGTTGGCGAGGATGTGGAGAAAAAGGAACTCTTCTGTACTGTTGGTGGGAGTGCAAACTGGTCCAACCACTATGGAGAGCTGTGTGGAGATTTCTGGACCTACTAAACATAGAGCTTCCATATGATCCAGCAATTCCACTCCTAGGTATTTACCCAAAGGACACAGAAACATCAATTCCAAAGAGCACCTGCACACCTATGTTTATAACAGCACTGTTTACAATAGCTAAGCTTTGGAAACAACCCAAATGCCCAAAAATAGATGACTGGATCAAGAAGCTGTGGTACATATACACCATGGAATATTACTCAGCATTCAAAAAAGATAAACACATGCAATTTGCAGCAACATGGATGGTGCTGGAAAGGATCATGCTCAGCAAAATAAGCCAGAAAGAAAAAGAAAAATACCAGATGGTCTCACTCATAGCAGGAATCTAGAAAACTTAAATAAGGGACCAGGATAATGAATAACTATAAGAAAGTGAAAATCAAAATCAACAAACAACTATGAACCAGAGACACTCTATGGGGGGTGGGGCGCAGGGAGGGGAAGGATTGGGGTCAAAATAAGGGGGTTGCAATTGTATGGGAAATATAAAAATAAAATTTATTTTAAAAAAACTGGTTCCTGTGAATAGGGGAAGAATGAATGTCCACTTAAAATAACCAAGAATAATGGAATTTTATAGCTAGAAAATATCTAAATATCACACATTAACAGATGAGAAATTCAAATCCAGAAAGATGAAATTGACTTGCCATAGTCTGGTGACTAGTGGAGAAACTGAACTTTTCTTTCTTCTCTTTTTCCCTGCTCATTGGTGTATTATATGCTACATTCTTCCCAGGATACTCTTCTTTTTTTGTTTAATTTCCTAGCAAGAATGTTTTTATAATAGTCATTCTTATATCTTTATTTATGGCCTAACAATTGTGTGAACTGAGAAGAAGGTATCTGAGGAGTCCGCAATATGCTTTCTTACCCATATCCTTAGTTTGGAAAGGGCTCCTTTGTATTAATTAATTAAATTAAGATTTCTAAGGGCTCCTTTGTATTAATTCTGGATTGCTCTTGGATCTCTGCAGTGCTGCGTATGATGCTGTCCTGGACAGAAATGTGGCCATTAAGAAGCTCAGCAGACCCTTTCAGAACCAAACACATGCCAAGAGAGCTTACCGGGAGTTGGTCCTCATGAAGTGTGTGAACCATAAAAACGTGAGTTATTATTTTTAAATCTCTGGAAGTAGGAGGTTGTGAGATTGGGGAGAGAAAACCAGGATGCCAACTTGAGCAGAAAAGGCTTTCTTTACTTTGAGATTTCTGCCTCTTAAGATTGTTTATCCTGCCCATATGCTACATTTGATTTCATTGTCCTCCTGATAGCTTTCTGCTTAAAAACCATCTAAAAACCATATGGCGTGGAGGGAAGGAATTTGATAGATATTTAACCGTTTTGAAATTAACCATATTTGGTTATCTTCCTCCAAATTAGCCAGAGAGCTTCATGCCTTCCCAAAGCAACAACAACAAGCACACATCAAAATATCTTATAGAATAATATGCTATATTTCTTTATAGTTTAAATCCAATTACTAACAGGAGAAGATTTTTAATCTCCTTCTCTTAGCTATAGTCTGGCCTGCAACTGTTCAGTGTACACACTGTGCTTTGGCATGTTGTGTTTTGTAGGTTTGGGCAAACATGCAGGGACACATCTGCAAAGCCCTATGGAACAGGATCATCGGGAGCATTTCTCTCTGAAACTCAGTATCAAAGCACATGATGGAACTCCCTTCACTCAGAGCATAAGTGTCTTTAACACAAGCTTCTAAAATACTATCTACGTGCCCATTCTTAGTAAAGATAAATGGGAGATTATTTGTCATTTTAATGAAGACTATTACTAATACATAAATGATAATAAATACAGTATATAATTTATTACATATAAATATGTAATATAATAAATTATAAATTTTGATAAAACTATATTAACTACCATAATTCCCTACAAAGTTTTTCTTAAGTATAAAATTGTTGCAGGAAACATGAAATTATCAGTGCAGTTTTACAAACAAGTGTATTTTTTATAAGGTTAATAAACACTTATCAGAAGCACTAGAAGCAGTAAACATAATTGTTTAATAAACCAACTGATCTATTCAAAGTTATACTGCACAATCAGTCAATAGTCTACACAGAAAAGGATAGGATATGAATATGTGTTTTAAAAACAAATAAATAATAAAAACCTAAGAGCTTTCTTGAGAATATTATATATTTTTTCTAAAAATATTCGCTCATATAATATGACAGTTAAATATATATTTTAATTTTTTAAATATTACAAATAAAATAAAAATGGTATTTGAAATATAAATATGAATTGTCTCATGACAGTCTCTCTTTTCTTTCACTATTATACTCCAAAGACTAATTAGTTCAGGCACTTGATGAATATTTTTGAATAAATAAATAAAATATGCCAGGTATACATTTAGTTGCTCTAAATACTAAGAATATAACATTGAAGGCAAGAGAGACAAATTCCTGCCCATGTTGAACTCATGTCTACCAGTGAGATAAAGTCAATATACAAAATAGATTATATATATATATATATAGTCAGATGGTGAAAAGTGCTAGTAAGTAAAACAAAGCAGAGATAAAAAAGTTTGGTCCAGTATGGGTAGGGTTTCCCTTTAAAATAGATGAGTAGGACACATCTCACTCTGACTAAGAAATGAACATTTTAGAAGTATATACCTGTCTCTAAATTGATTATGCAAGGAACATGATACTTCCAGAAAGGAATATAGAAATGATGGAAAAGATGATTCCTAAGAAAAATCATGATACTAAAGAGTGTTTCAGCATGGTAATAAGGTAGGAAGAGCAAGATTAAACACATGATCACAGCAATCTATTTTCATGGTAATGAGGAAGATGAGAAATATACCATGAGCAATGGAAGAAGAATGGATACAAGCAACAAAGTATAGAAAGTTTGGCAGTTTGTGTCTGCATTTATTTTTATGTCCTTAACTCTTTTTTTAGCCATTATAATGCAATGCGTAATGGGGAAATTGCCACTTGACCAATTTGAGACCTCGTTTAGAGGTTCTAGCAGGGGAGCTAGCTACTCCTGTACCCTAGGTGGGAAGGTCAGGTCTGTCTGCATTCAGGGAAGGTCATTCTCTTCCACTATGGACACCTGCCTCGTCAATCAGATCAACAGAATCAATCTTGGCAACCAATAGAGTGACAGATGTTACAGCCCTCAAGTCCATACTTGGCCAATTGAGAGAATCTTTGTCCCTGATCTTAATTAAAATGTAAGGGTTCATAGTTATGACACCTAAAATGGAGTTACAAATTGACGTGATAAGTTTGCAAATAACATTTTACATGATTCTCTCCTTTTATGTTGTATAGGCTATGGAAATTTCTGGAACTTGTTAACAGAGAGGAAGTTCATTTACAACCAAATGTAATTTGTTGTAATGGTACTTTTAATAATAGTACTTGTAATAATAGTAAAAGCACTCAGAATGCAGAACTCTGTGAGAAATAGTGAAGTAATCACAGTTAAATCTTTAAAAATGGAGAAGAAAATCCTCTTAAAAATAAATACTTAATTTAGGAAGTTATAATCATGGTATAAGTGTGGGGCTATGACAAATATCAAACTACATTGTGCATCTTAAGATGCTGCAATAAAAGAACTGAATCATATTCCTGCCTGGAAACCATTGAACTAAAATGGAAATATCTGTGATGATCTATTTATAAAGACAACATTTTTAATTGGCTATTAGAATTTGTAAGGGAGAGAGTGAAAGAGGAGAAATGGTTAAAGGGAAATCAAAAAAGATGAAAACAATAAAAACAAGTCCATGGGAAAATAATTTACCTCCCAAAATAATAACTCAGTATATTTAAAATTATAAATTTATTCTCCATACTATTTAAATTTTCTATATTATTTATTTACTGGGAATATGGATTAATATTTTAGTTTGTATATGTGTGCTTTATGTAGTGTAAGGGGCAGGACTGGATACAGTGCAGGTTTTCTGATCCCATGCAGATCGGGTAAAGGAGGAGTCAGAGTCCTCAGTAGTTTTGCAGGTTTTTTATTTGGGGTTCACCAGGCATATGGCAGGCAGGGGTGCTGGCTGGGGGGCTGGGAGGCTGGCAGGCCTCCCAGCCCCCAGCAAGTCCTCACTCTATCTGGGCTCTCTAGCGTTCGTTCTGCTGCTTCTCGGCTGCGGCTGCTGCTGCTGCTGGTGCTGGTGCTGCTGGCGTCCCCCCGTGACGCCGCCCTTAAAAGCACAGTCTTAGCTCAGCTGAATCCCATCTACCTATGCCCACACCCTATTCCAGGTGCCCACCATCAGGCATGCATTCAGGACAAGGATCCATCATCTATCCTGATGGCGGAAGGGCAGAAAAGCCTGATATTTTCTTTACCCTACAGTCCACCCCCTCAGGGTTTTCTGCCATACAGTCTATACATATATACACAATTTTCTAAGCAAACAAACAATGCAGCCATGGCCCACAAAAGCAAATACATCAAATAACAAAATACAACATAACAAAATACAACAGAACACAAATAAGTCCAGGCAGGGCACCAACCAAGTGCAAAAGACAATTATTGGTACCAGCAGATGAGCCACCAAATCTGCTGCCGAAGGCACTGCTCATACGAGGGAGGGGAAATCACACACGGCATCTGCTATAACACACCAGGAGCCGTCAGGCTTCCTGGCCTTCTTTGGCTGTAGTCTCAGCTACAAGGCACACACAGCATCCACCCCCAGGATGCACTAGCTCTGGGATTGGCAATTTTATTCTGTTGGGGGTAATCGCCAACCCTCAGGGTTTCTGTCTGCAGTCGCTCCAACACTCGGCCTTCATGGCCACCCATGCGACTCACAGACCCCTGCTCTCAAGCCAACCCACTGCACAAGCACATGGGTTGGGGATCCAAACTTTGCATTTGGCTTGGGCTCCACCCCAAGCCACATTCCCCACCCGTCCCCAAGGACGGGCTCCTCAGCTCCTCACCCTCACTCAAGAATGAGCAGGGCATCACCCATAGGTGATTTTACGAGACTCACAGGGCTTCAGCATACCCAGGCTGCTTAACAGCCGCTTTAGGGTTTCTCAACTTAGCATCAGTACCAGCTTTTGCCACCTTAGTTGGCTTTTCTCCTCCACCTGGCCACTGGGCATACACAGGCTGCTTTTGGCCATCTAGGCCCACTGGCCACCCCCAGATTCTCAAAAAATAAACATAACCTGCTAAGGTCCTCCGCCTTCTGGCGGGATTGTCAGTCCAAAATCATCAGTTCATCAGTCTATCAGTCCATTGGCCTCTCCCTGCTTCAGCAATGGCCTGCTGCCTCAGGGGTCATTGGCTGGTCCTTTCCGGTGTCGTTGGCTGGTCCTTTCCGGTGTCGTTGGCTGGTCCTTTCGGGCGTCTCCTTCACGCCAGGTCTCATCCTATAGCTCGTGGACGTATCCATCTTCTATACCGCCATGGTGCCTCCAGCGTCGTCACAGGCAAAGTCTGTTCTCCTTAGTCCCTCCAGGTCTTCGGAGGGCTCCAATACCCGTCTGCATGGATCTTGCCGACATACGCCAATTGTAAGGGGCAGGACTGGATACAGTGCAGGTTTTCTGATCCCATGCAGATCGGGTAAAGGAGGAGTCAGAGTCCTCAGTAGTTTTGCAGGTTTTTTATTTGGGGTTCACCAGGCATATGGCAGGCAGGGGTGCTGGCTGGGGGGCTGGGAGGCTGGCAGGCCTCCCAGCCCCCAGCAAGTCCTCACTCTATCTGGGCTCTCTAGCGTTCGTTCTGCTGCTTCTCGGCTGCGGCTGCTGCTGCTGCTGGTGCTGGTGCTGCTGGCGTCCCCCCGTGACGCCGCCCTTAAAAGCACAGTCTTAGCTCAGCTGAATCCCATCTACCTATGCCCACACCCTATTCCAGGTGCCCACCATCAGGCATGCATTCAGGACAAGGATCCATCATCTATCCTGATGGCGGAAGGGCAGAAAAGCCTGATATTTTCTTTACCCTACATGTAGTCTCTGATGTTTCTGTTTCAATAAATATCAAAAAAATTTCTTTTCAAGGCTAATAATATAGTAGAAAAACAGGCTCACAAAATATGTTCCAATGAAAGATGCATTACATAAACATTTTTCAACACACAACTAAGTATACAGAATAAGAAGACATCATAATAACAATTTTAAGGCTATTTAAACATTTTTATACGCATGTTCCATACTGAAATGCTGCTTTAAAAAACATGATGTTAGGTTTTTTTGGTATAAGCATTACAAGCCATAGGTTTCTTTATGTTATCACCATTGCCATATACAAACACACACATGCACATGCACACCCCCCCACACACAAACATTGGATTGTGATGTGATTGTTTTTACTCCATGATTCCTTAGCAAATACAATTTCCTGGAAATGACTGAGTTTCTCATATGTTTAAAATCTTTGCTTTATTTCTATTACTTATGAAAGTTAATGGCATTCAATTATTCATATTTTAAAGATTTTAAATCTTAACCTTATATTGGTACTTAGTTTTTCTGATGATTGTATCTGTGAATGAAAGATTGTTATCTATCTATATTTTTTATTTTTATTTTTCATTGGCATATTAGTACAGACTACATAGCTGGAAGAGGGTTTCACTTTATTTACATATGCAAGCTATTTGGATATATGACAAAGGAAAAATTTTTACATTACTTTTGTTAGAAGATAATCTTTCTTACTACTTAATATTAAAATCTAAAGGACAAAACAAAAAGTTTAAGAAGCTGAATTTCTAGTAAATTCATCGTTCCCCACACATGCTATTAGAGCAATAGTTTAAATAATATTTGAATTGAAATTAGATGCACAAGAAACTAAAGTTCCAATGCAAAACAATCTCACATTAAAATACAATCTAAAATTAAAGCATCACCTTGTTCATTTGGAGGAAATACATGACTTTGTTAAATTGCATTGGCTGTTTTACTACTACTTCACTTTTCTTAGGTGATTTTTACACCTTTTTAGTTTAAATGTGCCATAATCTCATATCCTATCAAAGAGAACCACACACTCTAAAGCAATATCACAATCATATGTCTTTTTTGACTCTGCCTTTAGTTTATCAAACTGTGCTATTAACCTGTATACAGATTGTATGTCCTTTCTGTGTACACTTTTTTATGTTCTGTGATACAGTTCTTGGATTTTTTTCCAACTTTTCTATTTCCACTGTAGCACTGGTATGTTACTTTGAGTTGGAATAAATGCTTGTTTAAATATATGCTTTTTAAATAATTTATTCTCTCATTTTTCTCTCATTCCTCTGTCACTTCCACTGTCTCTTTTCCAGATTATTAGTTTGTTAAATGTCTTCACACCCCAGAAAACACTGGAGGAGTTCCAAGATGTGTAAGTAACAAAACTCATGAAGGAAAGGAATGCCTGAGAGATTTCGCCTATTTACTTCTTGTCAGTTTCCCTTGAGTTATTTGAAATCCCTCTTAGAGATCAAAGGAAGGTAAAAGCTGGCAGCAAATGAAAGGGATCCAGTGATAGGAAAGAAGGTTTCATTTGTGGTAGTACTTCCTGGAGAGACATTCTGCTTCTTCCTGACCTTTTGACCTTTGTACTTTGTTCCATTTACTTGGTTTAATCATGGAAGGCTATTATTTTATTATATATTTTTAATCAGATTGATTCTGAGTTTTGTAGAATAAATCAATACACTGTGAGAAATATTAATGAGGGACATGATAAAAACAGTGTTTATTATTTATTTCTATTTTAGTGGTGCTTTTGATTTATTGAAAGTCTACCTTGGTGTATAATGACAGTAAGTAGAGGAGAGAAGTGAATCCCAGAGAATTTCTATTTTTTAAATTTAATTATTTTTAAAAATTGTGTTAAAATTTGTTTACCACATTGTGTATAATTTAGAGGAATAGGATCACACCTTAATGTGTATGTTACCGCACCACACCCTCCACCAAGGCACCCATAGGCCTTATATAACACGGATGCATTGCATTTAATGGAAGTTGCTGTTTTGAATTATTTTATAATTTGTAATCACAATAGTCAGGGAAGTGTTGAGAGAATATAAGGAAAGTGAGAACAAGATGAAAGTATAAAATGAATGAACAGGAAGTATTTAATAATACCTGTTATAATATTGGTAACTTTGTGGCAGAGTTACCAGGACCAACACACCTCAAATATTGGGAAGTTTTTCTTACCCTAAATGTAGTCAAAGTTGGAGCTGGGAAGTTGGGAAAATTTTTAGATTGAGGAGAGGATTATGACTTGTCTGAATGACTCACAGCTCTTGTGATGTGGAATTAATGTTGTGGGTTTACCTTCCAGTTATTTAGTAATGGAACTGATGGATGCCAACTTGTGTCAGGTGATTCAGATGGAATTAGACCATGAGCGAATGTCTTACCTGCTATACCAAATGTTGTGTGGCATCAAGCACCTTCACTCTGCTGGAATTATTCACAGGGTAAGAACACCAGCTTCAGAATTATAACTGATGCTTTGGGGGAAGAGAGAAAGAGCAAGTGTTGATTATTTTCTTTATGTAGGGAAGGCTTGATTAGATATAATGCATTTCATCATTTCTTGTTAGATAGAATTAGCATATAGTTCACTAGTAGATAAGAGGAAAATTTATACTGTAGTTGATTATGCTTAACATTTTATTTTAGCTAATTGAGAGTCAGCATCAGAGAAGACTCATGCTTTTTCACCCTTTGATTGGTAGAGGTCATATGTGCAGCGAAAATAAGACAATGCATTTCCACTCTTTATTTCTGGCAACATAAAGGCAGCTGCCATGATCTGCTCCTCTGTCAGACCTCAAAAATGAAATATAAGCTGAAAAGTTTAAGTTGCATAAGGAGAAGATTGAAAGATGATAACAAATTATTTTTTCCTAAAATCTCTCCTTAAGATGAGCATAAAATGTAAAAATGATAGAAAAAGTCTCTGCTGGGTTTAGAAAAATTTTTGAAGATATTTAAAAGAATTGAAAACTAATTGTAAGTTGCTTTGGGGCAGTAATCATTTGCTCTATATAAGGCTTTGCAGTGAAAGTGGTCCCATTCATGCCAGGGCCATGTTCATTGCGTTGATGGGAAGTGATACTAATAGCTGATGCTGGCTTTTAATTTCTTCTTTTGTTCCTATTTTCAGGATTTAAAACCAAGTAACATTGTAGTCAAGTCTGATTGTACACTGAAGATCCTCGACTTCGGTCTGGCTAGGACGGCAGGCACAAGCTTCATGATGACTCCTTACGTGGTGACGCGCTATTATAGAGCCCCTGAGGTCATCCTGGGGATGGGCTACAAGGAGAATGGTAGGGATGTTTCTAAGTAGCAGCCAGAGAAGCATGAAGAAAATAGGTTCTCTTTCATTTGTATGAATTATTATTTAAAAGAATTAGGATGCCAGCTTTCGTATTTAGAGTTGTTTTATTTAACACAGTACTAGCAAGAATTACTAGTTAAAAATGTGAAGGATGTTTCTGAGAATAAGTTTTGCTAGAAGAACACTAACATATTACAGCTCAGAAGAATTGTGAATGATGTCTGATTAAGTAGTCAGGTGGATACTGATTAGCACATATACTATAGATAACGAGAAACTTTGTTATTTGGATTACAGTTTAGCTCAAAGTGAATCTGAATATAGGAAGAAATCTACCTATTGCATTTAACCATTTGACTGTATGTCATACCTTAAATTGATGGCTCCAGTCCTAGGGAAAGACAAACCAAAAATGCCACAAATACTTAGAACAAGAATTTTCACAAATGCGCAATGAATATTCAATTTGCTATCTAAATCACTCAAGTTTATAAGTATTTCTTTAATACTTTTCTCTGCTCTGTAAATAATATTTAGGGCAGTAATTGACCAGGAAATTTTTATAAATTCTAAAACCATAGAGAAACATTAAATTTTATATTTCTAGTTTTATAAAGAAAACCTAATATCCATGAACACTTGAAAAAAAGGTGGCAAGAATCATCCAGATTCTCTAACTTTGTTTTATTGATTAAAATGAAAGCTTTATAATGTATCTGTTAGAAAGCATTGAAATTTGTTATTTTCAACAGAATATGTCTAATAAGTAATGTGGCACATTAAAATCATATTCATTATACTTAGAAATTAAAATTGTTTTAAATTAGGGTTGCATATAATTTCATAATTATTTTTCATAATTTAAACCTTTAGTTATTAGAGTTCTATTTTTCTATGATAATTGTATTTTATCTCCATGTGTTCCAGGATACTTTTATGAAAATTTCCTGGTCACTATAGTTTTAAAAAAATTTCTTTGTGTGCAGTTTAGAAGAAAGCCAGCACTTTTATACATTTTTTTCAGAGAGAGGGGAAAAGTCAGCTGTGAGGAAGGTTAAGCTCCCTTTGTGAGCAATGACATGAATCTGGTACCTTTTAACATGGAAGAGACAACTAACTCTCTACCTGAGGCATTATCACAGCTCATCTTCTTGAAAAGAAGATATTTGCATACATTCTTTGCAAGTTTTTTTTCAAGAAATCAAAGAGAGAAACAATTAAAGAAAATTCAAGAAACCAAGGATCCACAGAGAATGGGGAATTTGAACTTGCCTAGTCTGACTTTTCATATCTTTGCTACACAGTGTGTAACTCCATCCTTTTTCCTACCCTAACTAGAATGGTTGCAAGTACTGCCTTAGTTTATTGGCATCTCCAGGGTCATGGACAAGGCATGACTAGCATCCATATGCTGCCTTCCCCTCTCGGTGTGGGAGGAAGGGGATCATGCAGAGACCTGCTTGCTCCCACACCAGGCATGCCCCACTGTCCTGTGCACCTAACCCTACATTCCTTCCCTGAGGAACATTTCAGCCTAATGTTTTTGTCCAAAAGTTCCCATTGTCCTTACTAATATGGGAATTGAAAGAGGGAAAAGATTGGTAAGAGAAGGTGAAATATGTTTGTCTTACAAGTATGACAATTGAAAAGTAAATATATATATAAAACAATTTTTAACACCTCTGATACTTTTTTTTCACTTTACTTCCAGATGTCGCCTTCATAAACAGGATAGTTAATCATATTCCTTTATTTTCTTGAAGCAGTTCAAATAAAAACTACAGCTGATGTGTATTTACAGGATAATTCTAAATATAAAGAGGATAAATTCTGAAAGATAAATGAAGTCCCAAATCCTAGCATTTCTACTTCTTCTACCTGTAAACCATGGTTCCAACCATTTTCTCATTTCTTGGATTTGGTTGAATGTATCTTATATTGGACAAAAAAAGTGTCCTCTTGCTGCCCCATTCTACATAACTGAATAGAAAATGGAAACAGCCACTACTACAGTTTGATTATTCTTTTTCTCTCCAGCAAATGATAACAAAAACCCCTTGGTGACCTTTAACTTGAACTACATTGTTTTTGGCTGCTACTTCTCCAAGTCACCAATGTCACCACTTTATGACATTAAAGAGTCAACCTAGGGAACCCGTAAAGTAATTTTTAAAAATTGGAATTCACATGCTAGACTTGGTTTATGTGATATCATAATGCTGCTTTGAATTCACTTTTCGTCCAACTTTTGTTGGGAGATGAAAATTGTACCTTCTAATCAAACTGTTCTTTTTCCTCCTCCTTCAAATATCAATTATCTCAGTTAACTTTACTTTCCTCCCTTTTCTTCACTTCCCTCTCTCCTGTTCTAGTGGATATATGGTCTGTGGGATGCATTATGGGAGAAATGGTTCGCCACAAAATCCTCTTTCCAGGAAGGGACTGTATCCTTGTACCTTTTGCTGCAGCTTTACCTATTTTGTTCTCTCTCCCTTTAAAAACATAATAATTTTACCAGGAGAGTAAAGATAGAAGCAAAAAGTTGGGTAAGTGGTGTAACTGTGATTTAAAAAAAAAGAGATGATTTCTATAACTGACCAGTACTGTATACAACTTACTGCCATGATTTGTTTTAATTAAATTTCCATAGCTTTTTTCTTCTTAAGTCATTTTCTTGACTGTAACTCAAAGTAGCACTGTTATCTTTTTTAATAAATAAGAGAGGGTACCAGATTCCAAATGATTAAAATATAATTATAATTAGCTAAGATGTCACTATTTATACATGCATTTCATCTCTTTTCTAAAACTATTTTATGCATGTACAACATTTTAGGCATAATACTTTCTCTCCTTGATGACATCCTAAGTTTTTTTGTATATGCTTCTTTAATTTGAATTACTCTTGACATTATAGCTGGTCTTAAATAGTTCAATATAACATATACTCTTTAAAACATGTACTTCTGTATTGAAAAATCATAATTATAACTTGAATTATGGGCTTAAAATAGGCTTTTCCACTTGATTTGCAGATATGACTTAGACACATGTAATTGTTTTTCCAAAAACATTTAGAATTTTAAAAAGCAGTATTGATTTGATTTCTACCACTGAGTCCTGTACTAGATCCATCACAAATTTCTTGGAAAGATAGCAATGACTTGGGATTATTAAATGAGATAGTATACTTTTAAAATGACAAAAGATGTAGATAATAAAGTTACAGATTACAGAGACTCTATTTTCATAAATATAGAAATACCCTGCTAACAAACAATAAAATAAATCTTAGCATAATAGCAGTTAGCCAATTTAGCAATGATCCATTGAGTTCAGTATGTTACACATGATTTTTTTGAAATTGGCAATAAACATGAATTCCATAATTATATTAACTATTCTATTTGATTATTAAGAAAGCTCTACTAAAGAATTTTTATGTTAAAAGCTTATAATTTATATTTAATAGAAATAGAAGTAAAAGGAAAGGTCAACATGAAAATCTGACTCCATAAGAAGCTGATATCACAGTTAGCATCGTTTATGTTAGAATTTATTTTTTGTGCTGCATATTGATGAGAAATTATCTAAATTCTAATAATAATGTAAGAGTAATGACATCTAGAACTGTACTGTCCAACAGTAAGTAGCCACTAGACACATTCAGTGCTTGAAATTATGGCTATTTTTTTTTAAATAGTAAATTTTATTTTTATATTCCCCATACAATTGCAACCCCCCCTTTGAATTAAGATAGTGCATATGTGCAAAATGCACATTAGATTTGGCAATGTGGAAAGCATGCAAAATCTCTTAACTTAATATAAATGTATTGAAATAATATTTTGGCTATATTGGATTGAGTAAAATAATGTTAACATTAATCTCATCTATTCTTTTTATTAGTAGTAAATTTAAATATATATATAGTTTATATTTGTGAATCATTTTACTTTTGGACAGTGTCAGTCTAATACATGAGAAAAATACTTGATAACCTTATATTTATAATCAATTTTAAAGTCTTTAATTATCATTTGCTTCATGATCTTTTGCTATTTATAGCATGAAATATCATTTTTTGCCGTCAAATTACATGACTCTTCAGGAAATTAATTTTATTTTAAATTAACTTCACATCTTGGGGATCAGTTATATTCCCAATAGTTGATCTGGACAATGTTAAAATTCCCATTAATATTTAAATGCATCGATTTTCATCGCAAATGGGAATTTTTAACTGTGTTTTTGCTTTTAGGATATAATACATTTCACCTAAAAATAACAAACTTCTCAGTCAATACTCAAAGTGATGTTCACAATCATATCAAACATATATATCTATATTGCATGGTTAGTAGGAGACAAAACATCACAAAATATCTCATTTCCATGTGCCATGGTTGTCACTTGATTTCCATGTAGCATGGTTTTTCTGAGATCTATTTTGCTGTTCAGGATTTATCAGAATTGCTTTTCTCCTGTTAAATAGTTTTTATATTTAAAAACCAGTAAAATTAGGAAAAACCACAACATTTTAAATCTAAAATAACCCTTTGGGAAAACAGAATAATAGTAGTAACAGAATAGTAATAGTAATAGTGTATTAATAATCCTGTATTATTCTTATAATTGTTCTCTGAAAGTCTTTTTTGCTTCCTTTTTTTCTAGTTTATGTTTTAGAAAAATATTTGGAAGCAAAAGTAACAGAAAAAATTAATAATATAAAATATATATTCTTGATAAGTGTGAGCCTAGAAATGGAATAAGCCCTAATACATAAAATGTAGATTATGTTAAGGGTTGCATTCTAAATCCTTTTATCTCTGTGATGATTCTATAGAACATGGTCTTTGATAGCCTAGTGTCATAAATGATAATCTGAAGAAGTATAATCTTAATCCCCTAAATCATATACAGTGTTGTAAATCAATGTGACCTCAAATCAAGAAATGTTGTAAAAAGTGAAAATAATAAAAGCCAGTCGGCATGTAGGTGTGTTGCCTCTGGTGGCATGCGCTCTTCTGAATATGAATGAATCGCATAGTTTCTTGATTACTTTCATGGGTGCAGGGAGTACAAAATAGTTACAATGCAGTTTTAAAAAGTTAAAAATAAGTGAACGGGGAAGTTAAAGGCATTTGTAGTGGAAAATATCTTGAGTAAACTTTACTTGAATATATTTAAATAATTTCTAGATGAGATGCATTAGAAGAAATATCACTGAAAATGTTTCCACGAAGATTTAAATCTTTAGTTCATTTTACCTATTATTAAGGCAACAACATAAATGCCTGATCATATTTAAAATTTAAACCAAACTGTAAAAAGCCCTAGTAAACATGTTCTTTGTGAGTGGAATTGTTTCATTAATCTCTATGTGGAATTATTACCATTTTATGAGTAGAGTGTCTTACCAATAATTAGGAGTACGGAGCATTGATCTGACGTCACTAAGCTATCATGATCAGATACCAATTTAGTGACAAATGGAGCTACTTCTGGGGACAAGAATTATACAAATAATTTTGCATATTGAAATGATCCCAGCATTTACTGAAATAGTATCAAAATTCAGTGTATGCCTTACTTACTCTTAAGATTTTTCAGGAACTTCAAAAAGAGCATAGGCTCTCTTGACATTCACTTAGAATTATTTAGAGTAATTTATAGTGAATTTCTCTGTGGGTGAAAAATGATGTGATAATGTTCTATCATCATAATCAACATTATTCCTTTCACTCCACAGAATTTTTCAATGTTCCCTTCTTAATGAGCCCTCAACACAAATAGTAAAACAACACAACAAATTGGGAAATCTTATGAAGTTACTATTGATTATTAAAATTTTAGCTACTTTCCTATATTACATTTTTGCATAATACAAAAGAAACTGTATTTCTTTTCTGTTGATGTGATCTAGATGATATCACAGGATAGTTTCTTAGTTACTAAATTAAAGTTTTTGCAAGATATATAAATAAATAGATAAAAAGCAAATAAAAATTGCATATTTACTTTTCCGGTAATTAGCTTTCAATTTTTTTTATTATCCAAAGGAACATTTATGAAATGTTTAATTTTATTGTGTTAAGAATTTCTTGGTATAAGAACATATACTATTAGGTATTAATATTCACTGTAGTCTTATGACTAAAACCTCTTTCTTAGCATATACATTGATGTAATATATAATTAATATCTAATAATATTAATATTAAAATTTTAAAATTGTAAGATTACAATATTAAAATTGAAGACTCATGATGAATTTAGAGCAATAAATATGCCAGACCTATTATTTTCTTTACAAACTGCAAAGATTATGAGATATCAGTTACTTTATATTTCACTCAGATTTTGTTTCTTTTAATAATACCTTACAGTAAAGCATTTTATGTGCTTTCTTAGCAGTTTTTCCCCTATGGACTGTCTATTTACTTTCTCTACACCTTTCTAATTGATTTGATAAACTATAAAAAATAAAAATAATGAAGAGGCTGTCCGAAATAAAAATTATTCTGTCAAATGGCGAGGAGCCAAAATTACCTGAATTATACAATAGTAAAAGAAAAGGAACAATTTGTCACTGAAGTACTTCTATGAATTCATGTACAGATTAAGTGAGGATAATTATGCAAATCTTCAAGGAACTTGTATTGATTTTGATGATGATATGAGACTTTCAGAACCAGCATTTACTACTTGATGAGAACAAGAAAAATTTAAAGAAAAATATATTATTCAATATCATAATTTCTTTAAATCACTTAGTTAGATATATTGTAGAATTAAATGGAACTTGAAAGATGAATATTTAAATTTTTTTTAAAGATTTATTTATTTGTATACAAGAACTGGGGTACAGGCCAGAGTCACGGGTTGGTGAGAGAATTCATCAGAGACAGAGTAGGGAACAGAACAGGCAGATCAACTGAAATACACTGCTGAAGGGAGCAGCAGGTGAGACAGGAGAGGTCTGCTGCGCCATGTGGGTATCTCCCTGGCTGGCCAGGAATCGAACCTGCGCTGCAGAGGCTGCAGAAACCTTCACAGTGCTGCGCTCACAGCACTGAGCTCAACCCAGGGAGGCCCAAAAATTTTAAATTTTTTGGTGTAATAAAAAATACTGTCCTTTATTATATGTTTTATTGGATTTTTTCTCTTTTCTTATTTTTAATTTTTTATTAGATAACATTGGTTCACATCATTGTTTGTGTCTTGGATGTCTAGGATCCCCTCTTCTGGTGATGTTCCATAGTGCTCCCATCACCAAAGGATTTTTTCTCTTTATTAAGAACTGATTAAAAACATAAAGTCTATTAAACAAAGATTAAAAATTAATTGTATGATGCCATAGAAGTTATAAAGAAAGAAAAGCAAGTTGAATAGATGTACTCAAGGAAAAAATCTCTGACCTCCTGGCATTAGATTATTATGCATTATGTTTCATGAATATTAGTTATTTTCTTAGGTTTCCATGTACAAAATAAGTACATTCCCTATCTATTTATGCAAATCAGTCATCTTTCATAATTCCAATTTGGCACTAGGGTTTTAAACAATGTGCTGTTGTTAAATAATGAATTAAATGTTCAACTTTTGAAAGATATAATGAACTTTTCAAAGAAATGGTATTCTTATTATAGAAAACCATATTGAATCTTCTAGCTATTGTACTTTGAGGTATTCATTGAAAGAAAATTTGTCTGAATTCATGTTAAATGAAGACGTAATTACGTTAAGGAGAAAAGCATTGTGGTTTCAGAATCATGTGACTAGTGGTATATAATAGCTTTGAGAGGAAGTTTTTGCCAGGTTCCTGGACAGAATTTCACAATATCCAAAAATGTATTTTATTGTGGATCATAATCCAAGCCATTAGAGTGTTGAACTATCAGTAGAGTGATTTCTTTATTTAGATTTAAGCTGCCAGGGCCTACATTCTATTATTTCTATCTCCTGGTTACAAGTAAAAGAAAGATAATTTTGTATAATCAAATGCCTGACAAATGATATGGCACTTAAGATTTTCTCACTTAGAAAATTAGTCACCAGCAGCAATCCTGTCTGCCTGTGACTATGCAGGTGCCTCTCTTTTATTTTCTCCTTTTCCTAATAAACCTGTCTTTTAAAATGTAAAACAAACAAAAAAGAAAATTAGTAACCATATTTTAATAACAGTAAAACTTGACCCGCTCTACCTATGATGAATACGAATGATAAGAGAGAAAATGTAATGCAAGCAGAATTCTTCAGTATACAAAATTCTTATGGAGATCCTAAGAGTATATAAGACTATCTCTGAAAGCATCAAAATCCATTTTCCATAATGATTGAATTTATTGTTTCCTTCCAAGGTCTATATAGAGTTAGCACTCACTCAAATATTTTGAAAATTTCATAAAATAATCCAGTCTTAAGTCTTACCTTGGTAAGCAGATATGTATATATAAAATATATTAGCTAAGAGAGGGCTTACAATCCTCACCTCCCTTGTTAACAAGGGACTTAGTATCAAATTCTTCTGTTACCTATTTTCTGTTTTCTGATGACATTTATGAACTTTGGTGCAATGGCTTTATCTTGCAAAATAATTCTATTTTGGATATATAAAACCCATATAAATTTATGTGAATGTATTCTATTTTTTTGTAATTGATATTAATAAACTTATAATTTCCAGGCACAAGTCTTAGCACTATAGTTAGTGTGAGCATGGATAGTCTCTGAGAATAGTACATAGTGAGTAAAATAAAATGGGAATGGAAAGTTGGAAAAGTTTCCTAAGTATTATCACTTAGAAAAGATACATTGAAATTTTAAAACGTTAGTAATCAATATGTTCCTCATTGGGTCAGATCTACAGTTTATATCTCTGCATTATTTTTATATGAAAACTTTGTGAGCTAGTAAGTGTATTTTGGGTTCTGACATGAAGATAAATGTCCAAAAGTTTTCTTTTATTTTGGTAGAGCCATACAAAGAACTGGGAGGTGTACTAGTTATTAATACCTATTGTTAAACGAATTGTCTCAATTCAATTGAGATATAAAGACTAAGATTCCACTTAGGTCCTTTGTTGTTAATTGTAGCTGTTGTTTAAAGGGATACATTAGGTGGAAAGAAAAATCAAAGACTTTTATCCTACCAGATAAAAATTTCCTAGTTTTAGGAAGGGAATGCTCAGGTATCACATGCACCCATTGTAAGAATATTATTTTGAATGGAAATAATGGAGACTATGTTAATTTCTGTGCAGATAATGGGGAGAAGTTCCATAAAGTCAACTGTGAGTCAATACATGGAATGTTTCTAGGTGGTTTTAACAATGAAAAAGAATTGCCCAGTAAGTGTAGTTTTCTTCATTGGAAATATTATAGGTATGTGTGTATATCTTTATATATAATAATATATTATTATACAAAATAAAATAAACCTTATATAATTAATACCTATAGATATAATATAGATGTTGCATAAGTAATATTTATTGGGAAACTATTATGTACCAGGTAATTGAAAGGCAATGCTTTCAAATCTTTAAAAATTTCTACATGACAAATGCTATTTATCATCACATTTTTAAGGATGCAATTGAGATTTAGAGACACGAAGTAACTTGGCCAAAGTTACATAGTTAAAGATCAATAGAGTTGGCTCTGCAGCAGAAAAATGGGAATATCTATCAGAGATGTCATGAAAGAGACTTTTTCTATTAAATAAAATAAAAATATAAATAGATATTTGTATTAAATAAAAAAATTATAAACCAATCAGATTTGTAGCAGAAACAAACTATACCCAAATGTTCGATTACCAAATGTTTGCATACAGGCAAAAGAAAATATTGCCTATAGAGATTTTAGCTTTTTTTTTTTAGTATCTATAAAATAGATACACTGTAAATAGAAATTAGACTGGTCACTTTGGTAGTATGATAACAATATGTGCAATTAAAACATAAATACATTTCCAGAGATTGTTGTCTTTTCCCCTTGATTTTAAGATTCTCACAATACCAGCTTCATGTGAGACATATGCTGGAATTAAAATTTGTTAATAACAAAGGGATGCACAACTGTTTGCTCTATCTTTCCCTGATATTTTTGCATGTCACTTGCTTTCCTAAAATGGAAGCAAACCACATTTGCTTCTTTGGGTATGCTTATCACCTTCAAAGCTATAAAAATTTCTTTGCAGTGATCCTTCTGAGTAGGTGTTAAGTCAAACTATGGAAACTTAGTTTAACCCGAATGAGATTTTAACCCTGGAAAGAATCTCATGAGGAATCTTTAAGGCCGCTGCGAAATTGCAAAATGTGATTTGAAGAGTTATTGGAACAAAATTATATTGTGTTGCTATCTTAAGCCTTTCCCTTTTTTGCTCCCCTTCAATATCCCTTATTCTCCTAGGTTATTTTGCCCTATTAGAATGATCCATCTCTCTTTCTGACTTTTCAATAGGAACAAGTGAGTAACCAAGTATATAGTTAAAGAGAGATATTTTCACTATTTTGCTTCACCTTTCCCTATTTGCCCCTTCCTGTGTACCCTCTGTCCTAGATTCCCGGTTTTTAGTTTTGAATGATAATCTGCAATAGCAGATTATATAATTTCCCCTTGGTTTTCAGGTTTCTTCTGTTTCTCAGTCTCAGAAGAGTGTTATCTCTTTAGTCATATTCTTTATTGACTCATCTGTTTTGAAAACTAGCATTTCTGACTATTATCAAGCAATCTAGTTTATAAGAATAAAATAAGACCTCCTGCTTAGAGAAACATGCTCCCTTGATTAGAGTCAATGAAACCAAACCAGCAGAGTCCAAAATATTCATTTTTGAACTGACATTTTTGAACTGACATTTTGAACACATTTCGGAAATGTGTTCACATTTATAAATATGAGTAAATGCATTTTATGAAAGAAACTCTTTCTTTTGAGGTTAGCTGGAAACTCAGCATTTACCTCCCACCCCCCCCCCAATATGGCAAGCAAAAGAATAAACAAGAAACCAACTTGCATGTTTCCCATTTTAGCACAATCTGGAATAAGTTATAATACAAATAGTGGGCATCTAGTAGATGAATGTAAATTAGACCTTTTAAATCAGAAACTAATTACTGAATTATAATTGCAAAGTAATCTTATGATACATTAGGTAGCACTGAGTAACATTACTAGCTCAGTTTCATAGCAAAAAGGACCCTGACATTCTTGTGTTCTCCCCATTTTACTGTTTTATAACATTAATAATCATGAGACTGGCCCCTCATCCAGTGAGTGAAATGTCAGACCATGGCTTTATGGCATGGGTAGCTAAGTGTTCTCATTTATTTGCTGTTCTATTCCTGTCTTCTTGTTTATCTTCATTTCATTTTTGTTTTCAGTTGACATGTGGTCAGTAGGGTGCATCATGGGAGAAATGATAAAAGGTGCAGTGCTGTTTCCTGGCACTGATCGTATCCTTCTTAGCAGCCATTGGCTTCTATGGGCGTCCTTCTCAATCAGTTCCCTTTGGTCTGAAATACATTAGTGCTGATGGGTTGCATTCATTGCCTTAAGAGGGCTTCTGTGAGACTGCAATGTCAAATATTTACAAGCTGACCTCACTCATAGTAGAGTAACCTTGTCTCCTAGGAAGACCTTACAGGGATAATACAGTATTAAATATGAAACATTCAGCAGGATGTCAAAGTGTCTTAATTCAAACCTATGAAACTAATAAGTAAAATACTTTGTTGGTTTTTGTTGTAGCTATTTTGAAATTAAGTTATAGCTAAATAATAAGTAAAAATAATCAGTTTTAAGCCTGAAGATTTATGCTTTCATCTCTTAAGAAATATTTACTTAGCATAGAAATCTCTAATCATGTTTTATGTTCTCCCACAAATACAAAGACTTGTTTTATCACGTATTCCGAGTATGTTTATATCATTTAAGTAGTGACCAGCTTCTTTTAAAATTCTTTTTCTCATTCACTTCATGTATGGGAATAATATCACCAATGCCTGCTATTATTTTCTCCATATTACCAAGTGCAATAATGAAAACTTCATTACTTAATAATAGTTGCATAAAATAACTGAAGATGTGGGGTATCTGGACATTTCCTAACTTATTTATCTTTTCTCCTACACTCAATACACAATCACTTAAGAAAACATTATTCCCCATCATATTAAAGATAAAGTCTCTGCTTAAATTATCACAATTCAAATATAAAGGGAACCATAATGGAATTTTAATCTATAATTAAAGTAGATTTAATTATTAACATATTTTAGCCAAAATATGATTACCCATTTGCTTTGAGAATTAGTATATATTTTATATAGTTTTTATAGTATATTACCATGTAATTTATATGTAATAGTTTAATATATAATGCACATAATAATTTCATATATATTATAATTATAGATATATTGTTTCATAGGTATTCTCTCTCTGTGTGTATTAAAGGGCTAGGGAGGAGGCAACTTGTTAGGCACTCAATTTTTGTTGAATGAAAGAACTTAATCTAAAATATTTTATTTAGTAAAAAATAAAACTATGCTTTTTTACTTCTTTACTTACTAAAAACTTTTTTCTTGTCACATGACAAATATGGCACATTTATTAAAAAATTGTCTATATTGAGATTTGTCTTTTACAAAAACATGTTACTAGATAACACCTATAAATTTATGACATCTATATGAAGGTTAATGTATTGAGATGTTGGCTTGATAAAAACTAAATTTCTTCAGAATGCTAAAAAACAGGATTTTGTTGATTTGTAATGTACTCTAAACTTGATTTTGGCCTCTGGACATGGATGTGAAATAGTCCTTTAGTTTTGGATAATTTTAGAAATACAGATAGACTCAATCTTTTAACTTTGCACTCTTTGCTTTTTCAGAACTTCTTTGTGGTTGGATACTTGATGACTGAAATGAATATTTGTCACCTGTAAATTAAAAAGATTGATTTTCATTACTCACATTTTCTATTAAAGAAAATCATATCAGATTTCCACAGCTGAATTATTCAATGCAGCTTAACATTTCTCAGAATCCATTTCTTGAAAGAAATTGCTTGAATATAATTTCTTTTGGAACAAGGTTACCAAAATCCCTTAAAAGTAAAACATTAGGTTACAGTTAATGTTACTCTCATATTAGATGCCCTTTTAATGATGGAGCTTGATATTTTTTTTTTTTAAATATTAAATTTTATTTTTATATTCCCCCATACAATTGCAAACGCCCCATTCTGACCCCAATCCTTCCCCTCCCGCCCCCCACCCCCAAAAAGGGTCTCTGGTTCATAGTTTTTTGTTGATTTTGATTTTCACTTTCTTATATTCATTTTCCTGGTCCCTTATTTAAGTTTTCTAGATTCCTGCTATGAGTGAGACCATCCGGTATTTTTCTTTTTCTTTTTGGCTTATTTCGCTGAGCATGGTCCCTTCCAGTGCCATCCATGTTGCTGCAAATTGCATGTGTTTATCTTTTTTGAATGCTGAGTAATATTCCATGGTGTATATGTACCACATCTTCTTGATCCAGTCATCTATTTTTGGGCATTTGGGTTGTTTCCAAAGCTTAGCTATTGTAAACAGTGCTGCTATAAACATAGGAGTGCAGGTGCTCTTTGGAATTGATGTTTCTGTGTCCTTTGGGTAAATACCTAGGAGTGGAATTGCTGGATCATATGGAAGCCCTATGTTTAGTAGGTCCAGAAATCTCCACACAGCTCTCCATAGTGGTTGGACCAGTTTGCACTCCCACCAACAGTGCACAAGAGTTCCTTTTTCTCCACATCCTCGCCAACATTTGTTGTTGCTAGTTTTTTTAATATGTGCCATTCTCACTGGTGTGAGATGGTATCTCATGGTAGTTTTGATTTGCATTTCCCTGATTACAAGTGATGTTGAACATTTTTTCATATGTCTGTTGGCCATTTGCATTTCCTCTTCAGAGAAGTTTCTTTTTAGCTCTTCTGCCCATTTTTTGACTGGATTATTTTCTTTGTTGTTGCTGAGTCTCATCAGCTCTTTGCAGATTTTTGTGATCAGTCCTTTATCATTAGTGTTGGGTGCAAAAATGTTCTCCCAGTTGGTGGGGTTTCTCTTTGTTTTTGTTATTGTCTCTTTTGCTGTGCAGAAGCTCTTTAATTTGATGTAGTCCCAGCTGTTTATCTTTCTCTTCACTATCACTGCTTTGGGTGATGTGTCTTTAAAGATGTCTTTGATGTGCAAATCCCGTAGTGTTTCGCCTATATTTCCTTCTATGTATTTTATGGTTTCAGGTCTTATGTCTAGTTCTTTAATCCATTTTGAGTTGATTTTTGTGTATGGTGTGAGGTAGTGGTCAAGCTTCATTCTTTTGCATGTAGCGACCCAGTTTTCCCAGCACCATTTATTGAACAAACTTTCTTTGTGGAGCTTGATATTTTGATATTAAGTTTTTCTGGAGTTCTTGCTATCTTTTTTTAAAGATTTATTTATTTATGCATACAAGAGCTGGGGCACAGGCCAGAGAGGGGGGTGGGGCGGGTTGAGAGGATTCACCAGAGACAAGAGTGGGGAACAGAACAGGCAGACTGACTGAAGTACACTGCTGAGGGGAACAGCGGGCAAGACAGGAGAGGTCTGCCTCGCCATGTGGGTTGCTTCCTGGCTGGAGCAACTCATGCTGGAGAAGCTGTGGATTGCTTCATAGTGCTTCATAGTGCTTAACCCCTTGTACCACCAGGGAGGCCCTATATTTGTACATTTCTTGAAGGATAAATTGGGATTATTCTCTAATGTGTCTTCTCTGAGAATAGGATGTGGTCTGATGGTTTCCAATATGTTGGTTAACATTTAAATTAGGCTTATTTTTTTTCAGGCCAAAATTTTATGAAAATGAATATCGCAAAGTCCTTAAAATACAAGACAGATTACTTATTTAAAAAAATGCCTTTTATTATAAATGACATACCTGAGAAGACAATAAAATGAAACCTAAATTTATTAGTTAAATAGTATCTTTAAAATGGTGCTGGAGGGTCTCCCCGGTGGCGCAGTGGTTGAGCACTGGGTTGCGAAGCTGCCCGAGGCCTCTGCGGCGCCGGTTCGATCCCCGGCTGCTCCCCAGCCACCGGAGGAGGGTCCCACATAGCGCGCAGACCTCTCCTGCCGCCCACTGCTCCCCTCAGCAGTGTACTTCGGTCCTTCTGCCTGCTCTGCTTCCTGCTCTGGCTCTGGTGAATTCTCTCACCCTCTCGCGCTTCTGACTGTACCCAGTGCATGCATAAACAAAAACAAACAAACAAATAAAATAAATAAATAAAACATGCCTCTATAAAATAAAAAAAAAATTGTATATTCTTTAAAAAAAATAAAATAAAATGGTGCTGGAGATGTACAATGTGTGTGCTACACATCAATATAATACATCATAAGCAGTCATACATTTTAATCAACAGATCCTCACTTATACAGAGACATTTTCAAAATAAATTGGTCTCTAAAAGTTCTGCAATATGAGCTGTGCGTATTTTCTTTAATATATAAACTAACTCAAAGTAAGACTTAAGCTATTAATAATGTTTTATGTCCTTTGTTTTTGATGCCTAAAAAACAGCATATTATTTTTTAGCACGTTATTTTTGGCATCAAGAAATTTATATAGTCAATTTTTATCTTGTTACTTTATTAGAGGTTGTATTATAAATATATATTGATGATATTAAATCTCTACTAATGAAGCAGAAGTTAACTGCTGAAGTGGTTTTCTTTTGGGAGATCTAATAATTTTCATCTAGAAGACACTTTTACTTCAAAAATGGTCAACAGACATATGAAAAGAAAAGGTTCATCATGACTTATCATCAGAGATATGCAGATCAAAACCACAATGATATACCACCTCGCACCTGTGAGAATGGCCCATATTAAAAAAAATAATAATAAGTGCTGGGGAGGGCATGGAGAAAAAGGAATCCTCTTACACTGTTGGAGGGAATGTAGGCTGGTCCAGACCCTCTGGCAAGCTGTGGAGGTTCTTCAAAACACTAAAAATGGATCTGCCATACAACTCAGCAATTCCATTCTGAGGTACTTACCCAAACAACATAGAAACACTAATACAAAATAAACTCCTATGTTTATTGCAGCACTATTTACAGTAGCCAAAATACAGAAACAATCTAAATGCCCCAAAACAAATGAATGGATCAAGAAACATATTGATAGTATAAATACACAACAGAATGCTATTCAGTGATCAAAAAAATTGACACTCATTCCATTCATGGTAATATGAATGCAGCTGGAAGGGATTATACTAAGTGAAATAAGCCAGAATGAGAATTGAAAGTATCATATGGCTTCACTTATATGTTGGAACATAGAACCAAACAAAAGGTCAGACAATGGCAAACCTGAAAGTTAATAATAGGTCTAAGGCATCCAGGTTGGAATGAGGAGGGA